AAAATTGTAATCTTTTACTAGGTCCTGAATATTTTTGATAGCCTCTTACATACAGGACCTCCACAGTACACCTCTATCTTCTCACCAGAAAGTTACATGTCAAAGAGTGTAATGGACCAAAATTTTGGCTTAGGACTGGGGAAAGAAAACTTCACCTTCCTGTTTCATTAAAAAAGCTCTATACTCTCTCTTTCCTTGAAGTCTCCAGTTTTTAAATTGAAACAGACCTAGTATGACTATTTATGGGTTTCCAGTAAAAAAAATCATAATAGATTTTCTGACTTWCTCTGAGAGTTTACTGAATTGACCTGCTCTTCTGTCGTCAGACATGCAGCAAAAAGAAAATCCTAGCTCAGACTTACTGAGTACTGTGCATCTTTTCTTAGCAATTAAAAAATCTGCAAGAATCCTACCTTGACTGACAAAAGTTCACAGCTGACAAGATTTTCAGTATACAAGCTGGAGTTTGTAACATACAGCTTCAATTCTCTGCTTTGTTACTGGCATCCTGTGTGAATTTCACACAAGCCTCTATGCTCTAGTTCCACAACATTTAAAAATGTGCAATGGCATGGTTTAACTTTTCCAAAAAATGATCAATTTCACATAGCTTCTGAGATATATGGGACCACAGGGTTCTGAATAGGTCAGTGGGCTTTATCCCCTTATTGCCCATAGAGACAGGCTGACATCCCATTTGACATGTGTTTGCTGCAATTCCTTCTCATGTTGTTCCATTATTAGTATTCTGCTGAAATCAGGAGAATTACTCCTAATTCTGCATTGATACACGTCTGTCAAAACTAAGTCTGTTCAGAGGGAACATTATGGAGGGAATATGTGTGGTTCTGTACTTTAATAAATTTAAAAAACACTAGAACTAAAACAACCAAAAAAGCCAAAACCAAATAAAAACAACCCCAGGAATATTGAGGCTAAGCACACAGGACAGGATTTTTAAAAATTCAGGATGGTTGCCAAGCACACATAGATGCAGTTTTACTGATAAGGAGAAGAAGTCAGCAGAATGATAATAAGCAGTATTTGTCAATTAGAAAGAGGAAGCAAACACACAGACTTGTAACAACACCTTGCTGGTGCAATATTCTGTTTTCAGTCTGCACAATGTATCTCTTTCCATTTCATTAATGGCAAGGCAAAGTTTAGACTAACTCTTGATTGAGCACTTAGCTCAAAACTGAGACTGTTTGAAAATTCCATTCCAAAACTCRCTCTTAAGAACAAATAAAAAAGGACTGAATTTTATCTAATACTATTTTAAAGGCATTTCTCTCTCTCATTTATATGGAAAAAAGAGATTTAGATTACATGATACTTTGTAAAACCCTTACTTTTTAAATATGGGTGGATAAGGTCAACATCTGACACCTGGTGAGAAAAGAAAAGGTAAATATTACCATAAAATTAATGCTTTCTTCTCAGAAAAATAGTTCGGATACAACCTACAATTTTCTTAAGTACTAAAGGCATTTCTGTCATTCTAGGGCTTTCTCTCTCTTGTTGTCTCTCTTTCTCAGTATCAGAYGGTACTTTAAAAAACTCTTACCTGACATTCTAAATCTAGCAATGAAATGAAAATACAGATAAACCTCTTGGCCAGGGAAGAAGGGCAGACCCATATCTGTTTGGGAAAAAAACAGGTAAATTCTTATTAACAATAAATTTGAGCAGTCAGATTTGCATTTAGCTTGTGATGTAACCATGTCTTAGAGCCCATTACATTCAGCTTCAAAAAGGTATCAAAAGAGCACAATTCAAAAGTGCTCTTAGACATATGCCWAAAGTTCAACTTCTGTATTACTGAACTAAGATTCAGAAAGTCCCATTTCAGTTCCTTCATTAAATGCTAATCTAAATAAATATAAAARCATATACAATTATGAATAAGCCAGAATCTTTTAACGTTTCCTCTCCTTTGTGTGACTGACCAGACAAAACACAGTAAAAGCAGTGATAGCCAGACRACTACCACTGTTGCTATTACCTCTTCCCTATCAAAATATATAACTAATCTCCTCAGTCCAGAGGCAGAGATTCTGGTGATTATTTCTAACACTCACATCTGTTCAAATATTTTTACAGTTGTCACATACCTGCACTAAGCCCCAGTTAACATATGCTACAGCAGATACATCTTTGCAAGCTTTTTCAAAAAAAAAAAAAAAAAGCCCATTTCCTCAGCCAATGAAGGAGTGGCATTTTTTAGTCACTATAAAGTTACCCTTACCTCTCTGCAGCTGCACAAAGCTTTTGATTATTGACTAGAATGCATCTTTTTTAAGCGTCCTCAAATCTGGGGCAGACACTCTGTTTTAACCMGTTACCGTCTTCCGATAATCATGCTGAACATGTTTTGTCTACATGCAAAAAAGTAGGAGGCAGAAWTGAATTTCTATGGCGACACTTTGAGGTCCTAAATGGAGTGATTGAAATGGAAGTCCTAAATGAATAGATAATTTTTAAAAAATTAATTTAGTCTCGGTAACAGACTTATTAAACAACATCTATGGCACAGACCTAATGCTTTTGATACCCAAGCAAATGGAAAAGAGAAACACTGAGACAAAAGTCAATTTTATAAATGGCAAAATGGAGGAACAGAGATACTGATGGGTCCAAAGCTATACAAGAATTTGCTATAAATTTTTTATTATAATTCCTGTATCAATCAAAAAGTAAGTGTTCCTTCTAGAGAGCGTTTCTGCAAAACAGTCCTTTGATGGCCACATCTTTGATCACCACAGAAATATTTGGGTAGAATGAAGTGTAACAAAAAAAAATCATAGAAATGTACATGCAAATGGTAAAAAGGTACTTTAACCAGATATCATAAAATGTGAAGATTGTGATGTTACTGATAAGTCACCAATCTTGGAGGTATTTTAAAGATATACAGATGTGGCACTTAGGGACATGGTTTAGTGGTGGACTTGGCAGTGTTGGGTTACTGTTGGATTCAATGACCTTAGAGAGCTTGTCCARCCAAAATGATTCCATGATTCTACTTGCCATTAAACAGAGAAGAGCTAAAAAAMCCCAGTGTGATTCACAATTCACCCACGTCAGTTTCTGGGKTTTTTTTTTGGAAGACTGACAAAACTCCTTCTCTAGTCACAAGGTCTCTTTCGACTCATTCTGCCTGTCAAAGGATCATTTTATACTTCAGTCATTGCGATGCTATTTCTAAGCATGGATATTCTACTATAGCGAKAGAATAGTAGATAACTGCTACTGAGTTAAGATTTTTCAAAAAAAAATTAACATAGAGAATTGCTTCATATGTTTAGGCTATGTTCAAACACAACTGCTCAGCCAGTAAACATACTTTAAAAAGGACTGATGTTAGCCAATGTGACATGCATTGACAAGAAGGACAGTATGGAGGATCTGGGAAACTACAGACCTGTCAGCATAGCTTCGGTGTCCAGGGAAGTTATGGAACAGATTATCTTGAGTGCAATTACATGGCATGTGCAGGACAAACAGGAGATCAGGCACAGCCAGCATCATGCCATGTGCAATGCATAATGCATTCTTAATCTCTAGGAATTAAGAAAGTCAGGTGCTCATYGACCAATCTGATCTCCCTCTATGACAAAGTGATCTGCTTAGTGCCTGAGGGAAAGGCTGTGGGTGTTATCCATCTGGACCTGAGAAAAGTCTTTGACTCCATTTCCTGTAGTATTCTCCTATGGAACCTATCTGCTCGTGGCTTGAATGTGTGTGCTGTTTGCTGAATAAAAACTGGACAGCTGAGCCCGAAGAGTGGTGGTGAATGGKGCAACATCCTGTTGGCAACAGGTCACTAGTGGTGTCCCCTAGGGCTCAGTAYTGGGGCCTGAATAATACATTTATCAATGTCTTGGACGAGGCCAAGTGCCYCTTCATACAGTGTGCAGGTGATACCAAGCTGAGATGGAATGTTGACATGCTGAGGATAGGAAGCTTCYGTGGGAGGATCTGGACATGCTGAATTGATGAGCCAAGGTGATTAAGGGATTCCAAAGGGCCAATTGCCAGGTACTGCCCTTGGGTCATGATAATCCCAAGCAGTGCCACAGGCTGGGGAAAGAGTGGCTGGAAAGCTGCATGGTGGAAAAAGGCCCAAGGATACTGCACACAAACATGATACAGCAGCGTGCCTAGRTGGCCAAGAAGGCCACTGACATCCTGGTCTGAATCAGCAACAGTGCGGCCAGCAGGACCAGGGRTCATGCCCCCTGTACTCAGCACTGGTGAAGCCACACCTTGAGCTGTGTTCAGTTCTGGGCCCCTCACAGGAAAGATATTGAGGCGCTGAAGCGTGCCTAGAGAAAGGGAAGGGCAATAGAGCTGGAGAAGGGTTTGGTACACGAATCTTACAAGGASTGACTGAAAGGAGCTGAGGCTGTTTATTTTGGAGAAAAGGAGCTCTCTACAACTGTCTGAAATGTTATACCCAGATGTGGGTCGGCCTCTTCTCCCCCTTAACAAGAAGTGGTCTCAGGCTGTGCCAAGGGAAGTTTATATTGGATATTACWATTATTATTGGATATTATTCTTCCACCATGAGGGTATTGGAACAGGCTGCCGAGGAAAGTGGTTGAGTCACCATCTCTGGAAGTGTTAAAAAGAAGCGTATAAGTGGTGCTTGATTCTACTACAAAATCGTGGCGGCAAATGCGTTTGTACTGCGGGGTCATACGGGCACSTCTTTTCCCCCTCCCGGGGGCGGGCTCTCACACATTAGTGAAGCCCGGCTGACCAGAGCTCGGGCTCCCCACGCACTGCCCGGGCCCCGGAGCACACCTGGAGCCACGGGTGAGGACAGGTCGGTGCCTGAGGGCGCTCATTCCGGAGCGGCGCCTCTTCGGCCCGCATCGCCCCACCGGAAGCGGCCCCAGCGCGCGGGGGGCGGGGCGGGGCGGGGCGGGGCCGGGCAGGTACCCCCCGCGCTGCAGTGCTCAGGCCCCGCCCCCCGCAGGCCCCGCCCCCTCAGGCCCCGCCCCTTCCCCGGGCGGCCGCGGCGGGGGGGAGGAGGATGAGGGGGCGCCGTGGCGGCGATTGTTGTGCAGCCGCGCTCGTCTGACCGGGCCCCGCGGTCCGTCCGTGCCGCCCTCCGTGCGCCCCGCACCGTGCCGCCGCCAGGGGCGGGGGAGTCGCGGAGAGTGGATGCCTAGCGGGCACCCCCGGGGCAGAGACCCGCGGACGCCATGGGCTGCTGCAGCTCCGCCGCGCAGGTGAGTGGCCCTTGTCCCCTTCCCCTCCTGTGACCCGTCCGCCGCCGGGCCGTGTCACGCACGCCCGCGGCCCCGCTGCCTGCCCCGCAGCTGTGCACCCCGGCCCCAGCTCTGCCCCTGTCGCTGTCCTGTGGCTGTGCAGCCGCTTGCCCCCTCCACAGCCGCGCTCTCTGGCGGCCGTGCATTCCCTCGTGCCCCTCGCAGCACAGCTTCTTTTAGGCGCATCGCTTTGCTGCCTCCCACCACCGGAGCCCCGCTTTCCATCCCCTCGCTACACCTGTAGCGTCGTTCTCTAGTGGCTACGACTTGCCTGCGTCCCAGTCTGTAACCATACTCTCATGGCTGGGAACCTCTTTTTTTTCTCCTCTGCACGCTCCTCTAGCAACAGCTCTGCCTCCCCCGTGACTGTGACCCCCTTGCTTTCTCCTCCTGTAGCCTTGCTTTTTCGTGGCTGGGTACAACCCCCTTACTCGCCCCAAGTCTTGATGCACATGAACTGTGCAGCGTTTTGCTCCCTCTGTAACTGTGCTTTTCCCAGTCGTGGCTGTGCACCCCCTTGCTCATCCCCCCTATAGCCTTGCTCCTGCYATGCTACGCACTTCCACCCTCTGCATACTGTGGATCAGCTTCACCTTGCCCCTTCTTCCCCATCCCTGCTTTGGCTTTGCAATCTTTGCCGTAGCCTGCTCCAGTGCCCTGCTATGGCTGCAGCTGCAGACTTCCAGTTCTCACCTGCCATCCTCGTAGTGCCTTGCACCACTGTCCTGTGATCCGTAACCCGCCCCGGTCCCCCACCGCCGTGCCTCAACACATCTCCCTAGAYAGCTCTGCACGCCCTGCCCTACTCTGCAGCATATTCTTTGGGTCGCAACTGCCCCACCCCATAGAGAGAGGCTATCCGTGGGAGAARAGTCATCATGCCCAGGGCATCCCTCAAGTCCACTGCCTCTGGAAASGGAGGCAGTCCTAATCCCAGCCTCCTTCCTCACTCTATGGCCAAGGGTTCAGGTACCTCCCTACATCCATTTCCCTGTTTGTGATTGGTCCCGTTCACATCTCTTGTTTCTGAGGTCGGTTTTTCTTTCTYCCCCCTCCCCCTTCGTTCTGGTTTGCCCTTATTGACTCCTTTTTTTCCCCCAGAGTGGTGCTGCCAGGCAAGGCACAATCGGGAGCTCCACCCAACGCTCCAGTTTGCGGTTCTGCTTCCAATTTTAACTTTCCCTTTGAACAACACGACCAAATCTATGCTGTTTTTTTGCTTGGCTCTTTTCTGAAGGCTGTAGTAAGAACCATCACGACGGATGCCTTGGCTGTGCCTTGCTCGCCTGTAAATGTTAGTTTCCTTTGGCTGTGTCACTTGCAGTGGCTGAATCCAGCTTCCAGCAGACTGCTTATGTGGGAAAGTCCGTCTCTGCTGTCCCAGATGACTCATCATAGAGATGAGTTTTTGTAGCTCATCCGTTCAGGCAGACTTCTTTTTTTTTATATAAGAGCTCCGTCCTTCTCCGCAGAACACTGCGGAGAGCTGTCCAGTTGCAATAGGGAACATTCTTTCTGTATAGCAGATTGCCTTTCCTTTTTGCAGCAAATCAGCTTTATGGTGCATGAACAAATGGCTTGAATTAAGAGAATGAGATATATGCTAAATGTTAGTGGACGATTTTGAAATTGTTCAGTCACTGCAATAGACTGCCAGGGGATATTGTGAAGGTTGTACTGTTTGAGGTTTGCTAAAAAAAAAAATAGATAAACATCTGTCAGGAGTGGCTTAAGGAAAGCTGATACAGACTTGGAGCACTCYGAGTGAAGTTGGTGTACTAAAGTAATGTTTTGAAGTCTTTTCCAACCTTTTTTTTTGTGATTCCTTTCCAAATTGCTTTTCTGATGTGTTACATAGGCTCTTCCTAGTGCTTCTGTATGAATTTGGATTGCTTTTTTATTCTTTTCTTAAGGGAAATTGCAGGCTTATTTGTGGGCCATGTTAGACGATGGGTTGGTTTGCATACCTGGCTTGTTCATAGGTTTCAAMTGACTGATGTTGGTTTTTGGTGAAATTTATGTTCCACTGCCAGATTAAATGATGTTAATGRTGTTCTACTAAGCTTTTCATTTGCTTTCCTTATATGTGGCAATATAAAGCACAATAATTGAGTATACTACCCCCTATGTAAAAAAATACTTATATAAAAATACAAAAATATAAATATATATTTATATATAAATATGTAAATGTATATGCCTGAAGKATAAAGAATGGCAGTTTATTTAATTCCCTAACTATAAGTGATGTTCTGTCCTCAGGAAACCCAACTCAAAACCCAGTGTCTGAATATTTTATCAGCAGTTTTGTCTGGTATATGGATTACAGAAACCTTGCTACCTACAATACAGCATTACATTAGGTCCTAATGTCTAACGTCCCTTTTATCATTAAAAATAAATGTTGTGTTCCTCATCTGTCATGTTTATTGCACTTTCCCCTCTTAGATTTTTCTGGGCAAGGGTCCATCAAACATTCCTTCCTATTTCCTCGCCTTCTTCTTGCCTCTCCCTTTGTAGCTTCATATTGGTCTTTGACATAGTCTCTCCTCTTATCATGAGCACCCTCRTTCCTTATTACTTTATTTTTCAAGTTGATTTCTCATAAATTCTCATAATTCTTCATCTCTGTAGCCTATTTGATCTTCATCTGCTAATCCCCATTTCTGTTTCTGAGAGAAATGATTACTTCTGTTTTGATTCTGCCAGCCATCTTATCTGATTACTGCATCTCCAAGTCCCTTTCTCATGACTGCCACCTTCTCCTCTCACTTACGATAATGCACCTAACTGTGACTGACTGTTGAACTGGATAAATTTCTTTGTAGTCTTATTCACAGCCTTTTTTTCATACTCAATTATCCATTTTTTCCCCTAGATACGTTTCCTAGCTCCTTGGCTTTGCAGGCTGTGTAAAGCACTGCCTTAGGCTTTTTCCTGTGCTTCTTCCCCAGCAAAATCTAAAGATTTCCAGAGAAAAACTGATTATAATTGGCATATTTACCTTTATTCAGCACTATTGATTGCTACTTACAGAGCTGTATTTTTGTGTTTGTTTTCTGCTTTTTCTGCCTTTTTAACTAAAATCCCCATTCCCGTTTTTCTGTTTTAATTTCAAATTTCTGTTTTTTACCTCCTGCTGCCATCTTACTCCCTTCCTGATTTTATTCTGATTTGCTGTTCTCCATCCTTAAAAATAACAGCGCTTTAGAATGTTTCTYTTCTATTCCAAATTCCCGAACAGAAAAATGTGTTTGTTGTCATACRTTCTCTCTTTCTTCATACTAAATTGATTCAAATCCAGATTCTTCTTATGCTGAAATTGTTTTCGTTAATATCTCTAAAGGCTTTTTGTGCCCAAGCTGCAAAGATTCCACTTCTTTTTTCCATGCCTTGATTTCTGTTGCTATCAGTAGTGTATATAATCCTCTATCACATGATGTCTTATTCTCCCTAGGGGGTCTGTAGTACCTCAGAATTTTCTGAGTTGGAATGAACTCAAAAGCATTGAGTCCAATTCTTAAATGAATGGTCTGTACAGGGATAGTACTGTCCTTTTGTAATTATTCACTGCCTTCTACTCTCTGATTATCATATATTTACCACTACTTCTGTCTGTGGTTATACTTACAGCCTTTTCCYCACTTTAGTTAACTTCCTATTTTACCAAATTTTTCAACTTTATCTGTTAAGGGTGACCTTAAATTAAACTTAATACAACCATACCAGACCTTTTTCCTGATGAACTCATTYGTTCCGTTGTTCCAATGCTGTTTTGCCTGCTGAGACAATTAGAACTGGAATACTTCTTTTACAGTTTCTTTCTTATTTTCATGTGGTTTTCCATGTTTGCACAAGTTCTTTCACTTCCCTTGGTGTAGCATCTTCTGTGATCTCAACTACTTCTTCATCATCACAGCCAAAATTATTTTTTACTCTTGTTCCTTTTCAGTGTTACCTGTTGTTTCTTTTTGATGTTACAAGTGTGTCATCTTTTTTTCTTCAGGGGCTTGTGCTATTTTATACTTACTTAGGATCACTAAGCTGTCATTTTTTTGTGCTGCTGTCTCTTGACTATCACCATCTTGAACCCTGAGCTTGTGGAGGAAAGCTTGTGCAATGTCAACTACATCTTAAGAGTTGCCTTAATCAGTCTGTGTACTCATTGTTAGTTACCATGACCAAATCTTCCTAATATTTATTTGAACTGTAGTTCAGCCAAAGTGTGCTATCCTGTATCAGATGAAAACCTGTAAAGGAAGGGAGAAACACTGAGGTGGGATTTCTGTCTCCTATCTGGTATTGCTTTTCATTGTCAGTACCTTCTCGTTATTTCACCCCACTGTCCTCTCTTGGCCATATCTTTATCATGAGATGGGTGTTTGCGCAAGATGTATGCTTCTGTGTGCATGCATCTCTTTTGTCATGGATCTGCTATGCAATATAGCTTGTTTCTTCTTACTTTTGATAGAAGTAAGTCTGGTACGGGTTTGTAGGGTTTTTTTCTATGTTTGTGCTGTTTTGGAAATAGTGTTCTCAACCTAAATGTAGGGATCTTTTGAGCAAATGGTGCAGAAATTCTGTTGATAGAATAATTGCATTTCTTTCAAATCTTTAGTTTTACTGAAGAAGAAAAATGGAATTGAGTGCCAGTATTCTCTTCCCTCACTTTTCATTCTTCTGCTTCGTCAGTGATATTTTCTTCCATCTCACAGCATTCATTCATTTTAAAACTGGATTTTCAGGAAACTCTTGAAGTTCATCACTCCTATGTTGTCACAGCTGTTATGTTGTGCTGTAAATCTGTTTGTTTGAAGTCATCCATACTGGGTTTTTTTGGTTGGTTTTTTTTTTTGTTTCTGAGCAAGAAATCTTATTTTATAATATAACTCAAATTGCTCCAGTGATCTATTTGATAACACAGTTCCATAAAGTTTGCATTGTTATGTCTGGGGGGACAG